CCGCCCGATGTTAAACACAGTTAAGCTGTTGAATAACTATTTCGGTTTAGTACTTCCCATCTCAAAGCAGTCCTCAAGTATTGTTGTCTGTAGATAAGATACAGTGTGGAATAGGTGCTGATATACTCCTTTTATTTTTTTGACATTGCAATTCAGTCTACTAAACATATATCAGCATGAACTAGTTCTTCAATTGAAATTTGTCTAATATGGTGAAGGATTTTTTCTGTTGAAGTGAGAGTATTATGTGCTTTATGTATGCATTTTAAAGGTAGCTGGTGGCACCTTCTTCCTTCTATTTGTAGTTGCACCAAGTAGAACCAGGTTCCGAAAGAGTCTATATCTGAGTCTACCTAATTTTACCACTCATTGGTCTCTCTTTTTCAGGTTGCCAACATGATAAGATTTTTGGTTGATAGCTACAACAAACCAATTCCAGCCATTCTGGAGATTCCATCAAAGGACCATCCCTATGATCCTGCCCATGACTCTGTTCTTTCACGAGTGAAGTATCTCTTCTCTACTGAATCAGTGGCATCTGGAAGGCGTTGATGACGGTTTGTGTTTCAACATGCTCTAATCATTCAATTCATATCTGAATGTTGTATTCTATGTTACCTTGTGCTCGTACATTATTCATTTTGCAATCTTATGTTATTTTTTACTTTAAGTTATCTTTTCTGACAACTGTTGAAAGCAGTTTCTAAGAGTGAATAACCTCGTTATAAGTCAGAAGTTGATGTGATTCTTATTCTTGATGAATAATTTAGCAATGTTTCGTATGTAGTGAATGTCTTTTTGGTTTCACCTTACATGTAATCTTGAGATCTTTCATCCACCATCACTGTTTCAAGGAGTAACATTTGTCATGTCAACTTTTGTTCACATCACATGGGAAAATGGCAACACTAGAGCCAAAAAGAAGGTCCTAGCACAAAAACACTAGGTGATCTCTTCCCATTTGTCCAAAGTTGGTGAACTAAGTTAGTGAGTACTTGTGTTGGTGGAAGATAGTCGGTATCCTGTGAAATTAGTCGAGATGCTTACAAGGTAGAAATTTTAATACCGATTCAAGGTTCACAATGTGCACGCCCAATGAAAGAAACAGTTTTGGCAGGTCGGACAGTATTTTGAAAATATAATCTAACCTATCCCATGCCAGAAAACATATCATTGTAAGATTGGTTTTCTCTTTACCTATATTTGCTTCACTTTAGAAACTCTTTTTTATTGAATTTCACAATGGAAGCAGCCTAAGGTTAGGTCCTTCGATTCCGTCAAAACAAGTAATAAGTGTTTTTTTTTTTTCAATTCTAGTTTCTCCTCCATTTTGTTTTTGTCACTGTATATATTTTGCAACCAAAAATACGTTTTCTGCAAAAATTATAATTTAAAGGGCATTCATAAGTCTGTAAACATATACTTTAAAACAATGATGTCACAGCCAAATTATTGGCACGTATTGTTTGCTTTGATCCAGCAGATTTTATATAGATTTATCCCTTGGACTATGCCATAGTAAGCCAAAAAGGGCCTCTACTAAAGTCTCACATTACGTGTCCTTCTTAACTTAGAAGCCCGTCAATCTTTGATCCGCTCTTATCAACAGTCCTTTGTCATGAGCTTCACATATACTCCCCCATATGAATTTAGCATCCTTGCTCAGCTTTACCCCCACCATCATACTGTTACGACGGTTCGTGACACACGTTATTACTTTGGTCCTTTAGACTTCATAGATTTCTTCTTTGAGCAACATCATATTGATCCCAAAATCGAATATACCACTTGAATTTGTTCAATATTTAATCCAAGCTCCCCCCCCCCCCCCCCC